AAACAATTTTTAATCTTTCATGGAAGGCAACATGAGAAGATTTTTAATGGTAACTTTTAGTGGTTACATATCACTTCTGTTTACCTAAATAAGCAAATCACTGTTCTACATATGTGCCAACACCAAATCTCCATGATTAAGACCAATGCACATTTCAATAATTTTTAACCTTAATTACTTCCTATTAACATCCACAATTACAAAAAAAGAACACATCAACATTCTTAAATACCTGTGTCATAAGAAATGGTAGAAGAAATAATTCAAAATAAAATTATGTGCCCACTATAATACCTAATATGATCCCACATGTAAAATATAATATAAATGCATTGATTTTTCTAACTTTTATTTAATAAATATAAATTTCTGAAGTACAGCTTATGGATTACAATGGCTTCCCCCCTCCATAACTTCCCTCCCACCCGCAACCCTCCCCTTTCCCGCTCCCTCTCCCCTTCCATTCACATCATGATTCATTTTCAATTCTCTTTATATACAGAAGATCAATTCAGTATATATTAAGTAAAGATTTCAACAGTTTGCACCCACACAGAAACACAAAGTGTAAAATACTGTTTGAGTACCAGTTATAGCATTAAATCACAACGTACAGCACATTTAGGACAGAGATCCTACATGAGAAGTAAGTGCACAGTGATTCCTCTTGTTGACTTAACAAATTGACACTCTTGTTTATGGCATCAGTAATCACCCTAGGCTCTTTTTGTCATGAGTTGCCAAGGCTATGGAGGCCTTTTGAGTTCGCCGACTCTGATCTTATTTAGACAAGGTCATAGTCAAAGTGGAAATTCTCTCCTCCCTTCAGAGAAAGGTACCTCCTTCTTTGATGACCTGTTCTTTTTACTGGAATCTCACTCACAGAGATCTTTCATATAGGTTTTTATTTTTATTTATTTATTTATTTATTTATTTATTTATTTTGCCAGAGTGTCTTGGCTTTCCATGCCTAAAATACTCTCATGGGCTTTTTTTTCAGCTGGATCTGAATGCCTTAAGGGCTGATTCTAAGGCCAGAGTAAATGCATTGAAGTTTCTAATCATAGTTTTCTACCAATAGGAACAAATCTGGCTTTTCTTATTTCTTTTTCTAACTACAAATTTCATGGCTGAGTCAGAGCTAGAATGCAAAAGAAAATAAGGAGGAAAATGAGTCAGAAATTCTTTTAAAAGCTTTTTTTTAAAGTCCCTAATTTTCTAATCTATATTAACAGAAAACAGTTCCTTATCCACAATGTTATCTAACACTTCCAACATACGTAAAAAGCCTTCCATAATTCCAGAAGCAGTTCATCTAGGTTCAGAACCCTATTATCTATTCCATATGGCTTGCTTGTGACTGAGGAGTCCCCATGGCATGCAAAATTCTCAGCTTTTATCACATGTAAAAAGAGGCCTGTTTCACTGTGGTGTACCGGGTGAGGCCACCCCCTGCAGTGCCAGCATCCCACATGGGCGCCAGTTCGAGTCCCGACTGATCCTCTTCCGATCCCGCTCTCTGCTGTGGCCTGGGAAAGCAGTAGGAGATGGCCTAGGTCCTTGGGCCCCTGCAGCCGTGTAGGAGACCTAGAGGAAGCTCCTGGCCCTGCCTTCAAAACAGCGCAGCTCCAGCTGCTGCGGCCAATTGGGAAGTGAACTAGTGGATGGAAGAATGGAAGATCTCTCTCTCTCTCTCCCTCTCCCTCTCCCTCTCCCTCTCTCTGTGTAACTCTGACTTTCAAATAAATAAATAAATAAACCTTTAAAAGTAGAGGGGAGCTAATTATCTGGAATCTGCCTTTTCCATTAGGAGGAGCTCAGTTCCACAACTCATGAGAAACCCACGGCTTAGGTTTCATTATTTTTTTAAGATTTTATTTATTTATTTGAGAGGTAGAGTCACAGTGAGAGGGAGAGACAGAGAGAAAGGTGTTCTGTCCGTTGGTTCACTCCCCAAAGGGCTGCAATGGCCAGGGCTGTGCCGATCCAAAGCCAGGAGCCAGGAGCCTCTTCCTGTCTACCACTCGGGTGCAGGGGCCCAAGAACTTGAGTCATCTCCTACTGCTCTCCCAGGCTATAGCAGAGAGCTGGATCAGAAGAGGAACAGCCAGGACTAGAACCAGCACCCACATGGGATGCTGGCGCCACAGGCAAAAGATTAACCTATTGTACCACCACACCGGCCCCAGGTTTCATTATTTATGATTTGTGTTTTTACTGTAAAGCAACAGTCAGCAGGATAAATGGAATTCTTTTGAGTTTCCATTTATGGTACAAATACTGACAGCAGCTTGTCATGGCCCTTGAATTAAACTCTAGCAATGGTTCACACATGGAATAAAAGGCAGGAACTCGCTACTGCTCAGAATCTACAAAAATGTAAACCTAATTTCTTTTCTTCTTCCTTTCTACTGAACCCTTCACTATGGGTATAGCCTTTAGATAGTCAACGGGTAACACAGTCGGCTCTTACGTAGACTCTAGTAAGCCCAGACAGTATTTTTCATGAAAATGCATCATGATTATAGTATTTCCACACAAATCAATAATATATTAAAATTTTTCCTTATTCTATTTTGTCTTGCTAATAACATACTACCCCAGATTAAATTAGTTATTTTAAAAAAAAGTTTTATTTTGACATAGTTCTGGTCCAATATCAAAGGCCACATCTGGTGATGGCCTGATTCCTGGAAGAGTTCTGAGGCTGGCCAGGGTATCTCATGGTAAGAGATACACAAGAAACCTAGTCAATTTTTTTTTTTTTATAGCAGACTCACCTTCAAGATAACCCACTGACCTATTAATCTGGTAATCCAATAATCACATGGATAAATTAATCAAGTCATGATGACAACGCCATCTACTTTCTTAAAGGTCCCATTTCTTAGTATCTTCGAATGGTATTTACATTTCAACATGTGTTTCAGATGGGATAAACCATATTCAAACTATAGCAGCTACCAAGCATTTCCTGTAACAGTCCTGTCTTTCTTCAGATTTCCTTGCTAGGGTATGGGAATAAGACCTGATTACAAACAAGAGCTATGTGACTTTGAGAGAACGCCCAGACACAAGTCACATGTTTACATCAGACAGTCGAGGGCAGGATGCACCTTCCATTTATATCACCATGACACTCTTCCCCACCAGGGACTAAGGCAAGGATATCTGTGAGATAACAAGTTCAGCAGAGAATGTCTTTGGGATTGAGACAGGTATCAAGGCATGCATTCTAGCAGTCTCAGGTTCCTGTTCATGGTGGCTACACTAGAAACTACAATTCACAAATGAATACCCAGATGCTATAGATGGGTAGGGCAAAGTATATGGGAAGGTGGTTGGCACTTCCATTCCCTCTCTGGGCACACCATCCTCCAGGAACCTCCATGTGTTCAGCAATCCAGAAATTCCCCAAATCCTGGCATTTGGAGTTTTATGGGGGCTTCACTGCATATGCATGACTGGCCATTACTGATCAACTCAACCTCCAACCCCTGCTCCCTCAGCAAATGTTAGGGTATTGGCCTGAACATCCCAAATCTCTAATGATTTGTTGGCCTTTTTAGTGACCAGACCATGTTTTGAAATCATCTAGGGGGTCCCTAGTCACCACTCTCTCATCAACATACAAAAGACACAACACTTTACAGATTCCAAGGGTTTTAGGAACTGTGTGACTGTGGCAGAAACCAGGGACAAGGACCAAATATATACTCTTATATCACAATATCACAGTGTCCTTCTATTATAACCCCACCAGTTGGGTTGTACATTTATCAAAAGTTAGTTTCTGAGGTAAGAACTTGATGTGGTAAGTAAAACATTTAATTAACTGGTATATAAGCTGCTGAAATATGAGTTAATTAAGAACAAAAAGTGTTTTTCTGGGAAAGCTGAGTTGCATGTGTAGGAAAGATGTCCTGGGGCCGGCACTGTGACGTAGTGGGTAAAGCCACCACCTGCAGTGCCGGCATCCAATGTGGGCACCAGTTCAAGTCCCGGCTGCTCCACTTCTGATCCAGCCCTCTGCAGTGGCCTGGGAAAGCAATGTAAAATGGCCTAAGTCCTTGGTCCCCTGTACTTACATGAAAGACCTGGAAGAAGTTCTTGGATTCAGATCAGCAGCCATCTGGGTAATGAATCAGTGGAAGGAAGACCTCTCTCTTTCTCGCTCTCTGCCTCTCTCTTTCTCTCTTTCTGCCTCTCTCTCTGCCTCTCTGTAACTCCACCTTTCAAATAAATAAATAAATCTTTAAAAAAAGATGTTCTAAATATGACAACTCAAAAAAAATGCTACTGAGTTAGATATAAATGAGAAGGTGAAATCACAAAAATATATTTGGATTAAGGGGACCATACAACTATTTTAAAATTCTAAGCCTTTTTAAACAAATAGAATCTGGAAACAACAAGAGAGACAAAACACTATGGATGTATTTGAGTCACTAAACAGGATACAGATCTTTATCCATGGAAGTCCCCTCAAAGAAAGAGACTGGCAAAATAACATACATTTAAATGTTTTATGTTAAAATAAAATATTTACAATCAGTATGGTTTTCTTTCTATGATTCACTCTCTACATGAATTTGTCAATTGATCTATCACCCATTGATCACAGTTGTCTTGGGTAAAGATTTGTTTTCCTAATCTAACCATGGTTCACTTTCTCCTGATATTCTGCTTCTCCCAACACAAATCCCTCAAAACAGTATTTATTAAGAAATCTCATGATAACATGGTTAAAATTCTGGCAAATAAAAAAACAGCAAAGCTTTGCATTCTAACACTGAGTAATGATAAGGAATTCTACCCACCTGCATGAATTAAGATTTCATTCTGGCTTCAACCTATTTTAACCCTGTTACCATTCCATGACATTTTGCACTACTGAGTGGGGCAGTGAAAAAGGCAAAGTAGTTCATACAGATGTAATTTATGAGAACTTAAAGTCAACCAAGAAGTCAGTAACTTTGAAATAATGCATGCACTTCACACTGAGTTAATCGGAGTTTATTAAAAGAAAGGTTTTTGGTGCCTTTTTGCCCTTCATGTACCCTCATATAAAAACAGGAATTTACCAGGAGTTAAGAAAAGCCCTCATGGTGCCTTAATATTTTCTGAAACGTCAGCTTGTTGTCAAAATCATTTACATTGGAACTTAAAAGGTTAAAAAAGAGTCACGAGCTCACCTGCATCACATCTCAGTCGTATTATCAGCAGAAAGCACATTTCCCTTCACTCTGAAATTGCAGAAAATGACACTGTTGTGAGCCTCTGGGACTCCTCACTGCACATGAATATTCAGCACCAAGAACAGAACCTTCAGCACATGAAATTAAATGTAACCTTAAGAAGGACTTATCATATTGAAGTTATTTGCATCTTCTCAGACTTCCCTTCCCAACTGTGTAAAATGAGTCTGCATCCTAAAAAGCCAGCACTAATTTTACACACCTGAATGACATGACACATCACTCCCATCACTCTAGGGGATCTTAGGGGCTCCAAAGTGAGAAGCATGGGCCAATCACTTATTACAGCCATGCATTCACCAAATAGGCAATATTAAATGGAATAAAGGTATCGGAGACAAGCCCCATACACTACACAAGTTCTGGAAGAGCTAGAATGTATTACAAATTCTCAAATGGGATTGTTTGGTTGCAAATGTCAGAAACTCAACTGAAGCTGGTTTAAGCACTGACAGGAATATCTTGTCTCATTTCTGGAGATGCCAGGGGTGAAGAGACATGCCTCAGACAGGGATGGTTGAGAGGCTCAAACAATGGTATCATGGCTCTCATTCCTTCACTAATATCTGCTTTCCCAAGTAATGCTCACTTTACAAAGATGGAACAGCATGTACATGATCCCCAGATCCTTCGCTGGAAGTTCACTGAAGTTTATGGCCTACTTATGGTAGGGAATTTAGGGACACATAATTAGAAACCCTTTCAGAATTACAGGGTATAGTGGAAAAATGGTCCCAAAATTAACAGATGCATAACAAGCTGCAAAATAAATAAGATGGTCAACATCCATGAATACTCCTTAACACAGCCAATAGTGGTGATAGGTAAGGAAAAAACATGTTGGATAATGAAAAGTAAGAAAGCTCTAGAGGAAAACTGATGTCTTTGAAACTGCTTCTACCACGTACAATGCTTCATCTGCCTGAATTACATCTTTTAAACTATTCTACCCTCCACAAAGCAAGTTCTAGCTTGCAGGATTATCTCAAGAATTAAATATACTGGACGTTCAGTAAAAGATAGTTCTTTATATTTGGCTAAGACAAAGAAGCCAAATTAATTCTAAACCCCAATCAAAAAGAAGAATAGAACTGATAACGTTTGTCCTGAGAGTGAGTAAATAAACGTATCTCCTTTAAAATATTTCAAAAAGGAGGGGCCAGCACTGTGGCGCAGTTGGTGAAGCCCCGGCCTGCAGTGCCAGAATCCCATGTGAGCACCAGTTCAGGTCCTGGCTGCTCCTCTTCCAATCTAGCTCTCTGCTGTGGCCTGGGAAAGCAGTGGAGGATGGTCCAAGTCCTTGGGTGACCAGGAGGAGGCTCCTGGATCCTGGCTTCAGATCAGCTCAGCTCTGGCCATTGCGGTCATTTGGGGAGTGAACCAGTGGATGGAGGACCTCTCTCTCTCTGGATCTACCTGTCTCTGTAATTTTGTTTCTCAAATGAATAAAATAAATCTTTAAAAAAATATTTCAAAAAGGGGCAATCATTTCACACAGTGATGAAGCTACTAGTTGGGACCTCTGCATACTGTATCAGAGTGCATGGGCTCAAGTGCCAGCAACATTTCCTATTCCAGATTCTTGCTAATGTGCACCTTGGAGTTAGCAAGTGATGTCTCAAGTAGTTGGGTTCCTGCCACCCACATGAAAAACCTGGACTGAGTTCCTGGATCCTGAACACTTGGGGAGAGAAACAGCAGATGAGATTGAGAGTTCTCTCTCTCTCCCTCAGATCTCTCTTTCTCTTGCTTAGTCTCTTTCCTTCTCACTCCCTCTCAAAAAATTAATAATGTAAAAAATATATTGCAAATAAGAACTACCAGAAACTTATAAAAGATCAATTATATTTAATATAAGAAACAATGTATAATTATAGATGGTATTTGTTGAAGTATTGCAGTGGCTCATTTACATACAAAATGTGCTCAGGGTATGTACTTGCAATACATTTTTTGTACAATTTTTAAGTCTCAATATTCACACTGATATTTAACACACATTGAATAATTAACATAACTCAAACTGGAAAAAATGTATTCCTAAAAGAAGAACAAAGCTGAGGCAGCAGCAAAGGCTTCTGGGTAAGTAGGGAATGGAAGGCTATTTAGAGTTGAAATCCCATTTCTAGCTGTCACAATGACCTCTTTTGTGGCTTTGTCTGCTGATCCATTAACTTTTCAATGTTCTTTTCCTCTAAGAAAGAGGAAGCTGCCAGGCCCTAATCACCTTCAAAAAATGGTTTGTGTTTGAGAACATGGCATGGAAAAGGAAAAGGTGTTTACTTCAGCTCTTAAAATTCACTAACCTCCCAGGCCCGTTTTATTGAGTGATAGTTATGACTGACACATCCCTATCCTGCTTATTACATGTATATATAAACTGGGTTTTAATGTATAAGATCAAATACACAAATAGACGTAGTTGATATTAGAACTCAAATTCACAGAATCACAGATCTTTAGTCAGAAGTAACTTAGAATTTAACTAGTTCTATCTCTATTTTACAGATGAATCAAGACAGAATCCATATTTTCTAAGCTCACACTTCCATTTTACCATCCCACTTAAGCAAGAAATTTTCAAAGGCTTAAAATTATTTGTAAAGCAATATTTTCTTGACTACAAGAGGAGAATATAAATAAAAAAAGAAATATTAATAGAGATTGCTGAACACAGATGGTATGGACTGAGAGGGAAAACTTTCTGAAAACATGTCCCTAAAAGTAAACAAAGAAATTAACAGAAGAACCAGAGGAGAAAGAGAGCCACGAGGAATTTTCATGTCATAACATCCACATCCCAGAAAGATAATACGTGACTATCAATAGAGTAACGGTTCAGACAGATGTACTTCAGAGGGGAAAATAAATACTAGAAGTCAATAAAAACTCACTTGACTAACAAGTATAAGTTGTTAGTAGGCAACATGTGCAAATACCATAAAATCAATAAACCAATTATGATTAATGATAGAAATATTTGAGAATCTTAAAATAGAGTCTCTGAGGGGCCGGCACTGTGGCACAGCAGGTTAATGGCCTGGCCTGAAGCGCCAGCATTCCATATGGGAGCCAGTTCAAGACCTGACTGCACCTCTTCCGATTCAGCTCTCTGCTATGGCTTGGGAAAGCAGCAGAAGATGGCCCAAATCTTTGGGCCCCTGCAACCACATGGGAAACCCAGAAGAAGCTCCTGGCTCCTGGCTTCAGATTGGCACAGATCTGGGCATTGCGGCCAATTGGGGAGTGAACCAGCGGATGGAAGACCTCTCTCTCTGCCTCTCCTCTGTGTAACTCTGACTTTCAAATAAATAAATCTTTAAAAAATAAAAAAATTAAATTACAAGATTAAAAAATTAAAAAAAAAAAACAGAGTCTCTGTGATCTTATTTGTATGGTTCTTAGAACAACTGTTGGGGCCAGTGCTGTGGCGTAGAAAGTAAAGCCGCTGCCTGCAGTGCCAGCATCCCATATGGGCGCCGATTTGTGCCCAGCTGCGCTACTTGCAATCCAGCTCTCTGCTATGGCCTGGGAAAGCAGTAGAAGATGGCCCAAGTCTTTGGGCCCTGCACCCATGTGGCAGACCCGAAAGAAGCTCCAGGCTCCTGGCTTCGGATCAGCACAGTTCCGGCCCTTGCAGCCAACTGGGGAGTAAACCAGCAGATGAAAGACCTCTCTCTCTCTCTCTCTCTCTCTCTCTCTCTCTCTCCTTCTCTCTCTCTCTCTGTGAAACTCTGAATTTAAAATAAATAAATAAACATTTAAAAAAAACTGCTTAAAGGTGGCTTGATTGAGCACAACTTTTAACATGGAAGAGTAAAGAATTCAGCAATCTTCTCTTCAAAAAGCAACAATAAAAGTGAAAAAATGTATCATCAAAAGCCAAGATTTCAGGATTCTAGAATGGACCACATATACAATTTCTTTGAAAATGAACCAAAGCCATACAACAAATTGAGAAGTGTTTGTTCAGGAAAAAATTTACCTTGGGAATCAGAATGGGATTCTGTGGGTGTTTAGACTAAAGATGCTCCCGACACCCTCATCCCCTCAATACTCTCAGCCTAGTAACTCTTTTAAGATGGGGGTAATGTGTGACAACAATAGTTTACCGTTCAAAGGGGAAGGTCTTGATTTGGCCAAGTGCTCCTGGACACTATATCAGAAATAATAGCCATATTGATGTTAACAGAATAGGGAAAACTGAAGTCATTGCTAGTACAGTGGGGAAGAGTGATCCTGGTTGGGTCAAGTAATAAACTGGAGACTACCTGTCAAGTTAAAAGGAAGATCCATGAAATATGTGGACCTGGATAAGTAGCTATCTGTTCCTAGTCATCTGCAAGTCACAGCTACTCAGTCTAGAGAGCAATTCATGCATCCACAGCTCAATGTAAGTCTAGGTACACATGCATAGGTAAAACAAAAGAGCTGAGCAGAAAGCAAAAGCTAGGAAAAATTATAAACTCACAGAGCTTTGAATACATTCCTCAAACCACATATATATCCACTGGCAAATAATAGAAGTGTTACTAGCTTGAGGTATTTGAACATAGCCTCAGGCCAATAATTGTCCAAACACAAAGATGAATTGATTTAAGGGTGACCACATAGGACAAAGAAATTAAAAAATAAAATACAAAGAAAAAATTCACAAAACACATAACAGACAGAGATGGTTATATATTGTAGGAGAGATAGACTCCATAAAATGAGAAACTTACCAAAGAAATAAATGAGAGGCTGGCACTGTGGCGCAGCAGATTAAATCCCTGGCCTGAAGCGCCAGCATCCCACAAGGGAACAGGTTCTAGTCCCAGCTGCTCCTCTTCCAATCCAGCTCTCTGCTGTGGCCTGGGAAAGCAGTAGAAGAAGGTCCAAGCGCTTGGGTCTCTGCACCCGCGTGAGATACCAGGAGGAAGCTCCTGGCTCCTGGCTTCAGATCTGTGCAGCTCTGGCCGTTGCGTCCATCTGGGGAGTGAAACAGCAGATGGAAGACCTCTCTCTCTGTGTCTCTACCTCTCTCTGTAACTCTTTCAAATAAATAAAATAGATCTAGGAAGGAAGGAAAGAAGGAAGGAAGGAAGGAAGGAAGGAAGGAAGGAAGGAAGGAAGGAAGGAAGGAAGGAAAGAAAGAAAGAAAGAAAGAAAGAAAGAAAGAAAGAAGAAAACACCTGAAAAAACAAACAGCAGGTGAAAATTCCCAATACAGACTTGCTACAATTTACGAAAATGTCCAAAATATCAACAAGAAATGAGAATTGCAAAAAAAAAAAAAAAAAAAAAGTAGGGAAATTTGAATTCCAGTAAGGAAAAAATGTCTATTGAAATTGTTTTTGAGAGTTCTAAGATGTTGAACTTAGCAAAGGTTATAAGACAACTATCACAAATATGTTCACAGCACTAGAAAAATCATGTATATATAAATTAAATGAGGATAACAACAGCATGTTAGATATGGAATCTCAATAATTTTATTTTTATTAAATGTGAATTTTGGAGATGAAAAGCTTAATAGCAGACAAATACTAAATATGAATCAAGAAGAAAGATAAAGAATATTCTTTCAGTGACTCATGAATTGATTTTGAGAGGTCAGTATCAATGAAGTCAGATACAAAAAACATAAATTATAGATCAAGATGCCATGTGAAAATAAATGCAAAAATTCTCCCAAAACTATTAACAAACTAAATCCAGTAACATGTAATAATTATTCACACCATGGAAAAACTGGATTTAGTCTTCAGAAATTATGTAAAGTTCATTTCACATCTAATAATCAGTTAATGTAATATGCATATTAGGACAATGGATAATAATCCCAATATAATTTCAATAACGAGAGAAAAAGAATCTGAAAAAAATCCAATGCCTATCCATGCATTAAACTTTAAAAAAAAGCTGGATAGAAGAGAACATTGCTCAACCTTAAGAACAGCATTTAAGAAAAATCTAGGGCTGGCGCCGCGGCTCAATAGGCTAATCCTCCGCCTGCGGCGCTGGCACCCCAGGTTCTAGTCCCAGTCGTGGCACCGGATTCTGTCCTGGTTGCCCCTCTTCCAGGCCAGCTCTCTGCTGTGGTCCAGGAAGGCAGTGGAGGATGGCCCAAGTGCTTGGGCCCCTGAACCCACGTGGGAGACTGGGAGGAAGCACCTGGCTCCTGGCTTCGGATCAGCGCAATGCGCCAGCCGCAGCACGCTGGCCGCGGCAGCCATTGAAGGGTTAACCAATGGCAAAGGAAGACCTTTCTCTCTGTCTCTCACACTGTCCACTCTGCCTGTCAAAAAAAAAAAAAAAAATGAAAAATCTATAGCTAACATCAAACCAGACTTTTTTTTTTGTTTTGAAACAAGATAAGATAATCACCGTCTGCTCTACTCTTACTGCTTGTATTCAACATTGTACTAGAAAGCTCCAGCCAATGCAATAAAGCAAAAGAACAAGAAAGATTAGAGATAAAGTAAAATTGTAAAACTTTCTCCATCCAAACAATAAAATCCTGTAGAAAATCATAAAGAATCTGTAAAAACATTACTGGAACAAATAAACTCAACAAGTTTACAGAATACAAGATTAAATTTTGGAAAAAATCACTGTATTTTATTTGTTCCATCTTTATTGAGGCATAATTAGTATACAAAAACTGTCCATAGTTAATATATACAATTTGGTGAGCTTGGATTTAGGTGCACACTTGTGATACCAGTACCACAATCCAAGTAATAAACATATCTATCAGAAAAAGTCCATGTTACCAGACACTGTATCAGAAACAGCAGCCATCTTGATGTTAACAGAATAGGGAAGACTGAAGTCATAGCTAGCCTAGTGGGGAAGAGTGATCCTGATTGGGAAGTAAAATATGGCAGACCAGGTGGAAATTTAACAATAGGGAAACCCATGAAATACATGGGCTTTGATAAGCACATCTCTAATCATCTGCAAGTCAGATAACAGATGACATCAGAAAGCAATTCACATATCCCTAGCTGAGCACTTTCCATATGATCTTCCCTCTTAAGCCATGTTCAAGTGCCCAACAGCTTTTTGTTAACTTTAGGCATACTGTTGTACAGCAGATCTCTAGAAATTACTCATTTGTACAAATGTAAATTTATACTCATTGAACAACTCCCTATATCTCATTCTCCCATCTACTTCAATATCTTTAATGATTTCAGATGCCTTTATATAAGAAGAATCATTCTGTAGTTGTCTGACTATAACTGATTCATTTTACTTAGCATGACTTCTTCTAACAATTTGACTTCCTTCATAAAAATTTCATTGTATTTTATACACCAATAATGAACAATCGGAAAAGGAAATTGAGAAATAAATTATATTCATAATAGAATCAAAAAAGTATTAAAATACTCTAAGTACTAGTATTAACATCACAGATCTCTAACATCAGAGGTCTCTAATTCGAATGAGCAGTTCTAAGAACAGAAAACTTAAATGTTGCAAACTGCATGTCTCTCTTTGATCTAAGACATGGATCAACTGTGAAGCTTTGAAATCATTGTTTTTCCAAATAAAGCTCTAAGGCAATTATTTTCCCATGTTCACAACAATTACCTCAAAAAGACAAATAACAAGATTGTTTCTTCTTTCAAGAGATGGGCTAAAATTGAAGAAAGCATCTTCCTCTTATACAGTTTTTCAAAGAAAATAATTTTCAATATATTGAGTAACAACTATAAAAACTTAAAATATTATTATATTAGGCAATGAGGCATCTGTAACGCTTGGACACTAAAATTTAATTGGCAGTGGAGGAGACTACAGTATGTCAACAAAAGCAGTTCTCTAAAAAGCAAACATCAGAAGCCAGGGGAAAGTTCCAGCTTATTAGTAACTCCAGTTGCTCATGGGATGTAGGTTGTTATGGAAACTGGAATAAGAACATGGAAAATCAGAGACTGGAAAACACTGTCATAAGGGCAGGGGATCATTTATAAACTCTTTAGAAAACCTTTCTTCTTTGAGTTTTCAAGTTACCAGCTTGATCTCAGGTTGCTATCACAGAATTCAAAATAAGTCTCTGAAGGTTAAAGGAATCAGCCTGATCTCTAATGTTGCCTTTGTCTACCCAGAATTCTTAATGAGCTTAAGTTGTAGGGCATGGAGGTAGTACTACAATGTCCGTGATAGATTAGCTTTACTGCACATGTTTTAGGGGATTACAAAAATCTTTAACACTTGAATTTGATTCCTATTGCTACAAAGAAAGGATAGAATTATTCTGTTTTTTTGTTTTTTGTTTTTTTTTTTTTCAAAATTAAAATGTATGGGCTGGTAGTGGCTCACTAGGTTAATCCTCCACCTGCGGTGCCAGCATCCCATATGGGTGCCGGGATCTAGTCCCGGTTTCCCCTCTTCCAGTCCAGCTCTCTGCTGTGGCCCCGGAAGGGCAGTGGAGGATGGCCCAAGTGCTTGGGCCCTGCACCCCATGGGAGACCAGGAAGAGGCACCTGGCTCCTGGCTTTGGATCGGCACAGCACGGGCCATGACGGCCATTTGGGGAGAGAACCAATGGAGGGAAGACCTTTCTCTCTCTCTCCTTACTGTCTATAACTCTATCTGTCAAATTTTTAAAAAAATGAAATTGTAAAGCAGTGAGAAGTTTTAAAAGAAAAAATCCTTAGTCACATTCAATTTAAGAGATTGATGGAGCCACCAGCACAAACTAAACTTAAAAACCTTTTAAAATGATTCTACATACAGAATACAAGAAGCTCTTCTGATCTGCTGTTCTGTGTCCTGAAGGTATGGAGGGTCTAGAGCTCAAAATTACAACAGTATTACAGGCAGTGTTCAGTAAGTGTGCATGGAGGCCTCTCTCATAAAGACATTGTATCTATCAACACAAATGTTTCCTCTCATCACAGGTAAAGAGGTGCAAACCTTTGTGTTCAAGAAGTGCTTATCTAAATTATATCCAGTCTACATGTTCAGTGACATTCGGGAATGATTTATTTAATGTTTTCCACTAGGGCAGAATACACCATGGTGTTTTCATCACATAAATTTAGATGCTGATGTTACTGTTATTGTTGTTTTGTTTTGTTGTTGTTTCCAAGACAATGAAACTAGTCATTAGATGAGAAGATAGTAAGATAACTGCACTTTATTTTTATCTTTATGGTTACCTAGGGAAAAGAACACTGTAGTGCAAAGAGCTTTGAAATCAATATAATTAAATAGCAGTCTAGACTTGGTCAATAAACAACTGTGAATACTGAGCAATTTCCTTAAAGGCTCTGAGTCTCTACTCAAGTACTGTTAACTACACATTATTTAACAAAATTCAGGAAGGACATAGCATGGTTATAGTCCACTGAAATTTCTCAGAAATCCTACTTTCTGAACTGAAGTTATCAACACTCAGATAACTTGTAGAACAAGTTAATTAGTAAATACACTTGTTACTTGAATGATACCCAGATATCAAAAGTCACAGAAATGTTATCTCATGGACATTAAGAGTAATTTTTTCACGTATGTCTGTTCTAAAAGTTTAAACAATTAACAGTGCTCAAATGACAAAGTCTCCTGGAAGATGACAACCGATCAGCTCTTCTCAAACAGGACTCCAGAAAAGCATTAAGCCCTGATGGCCCAAGACATCTATCAGTATAATGAATTAACTTATTTTCCATGCACATAGAATGGTACTAGTATACTATCCTTTGGAGAACCGAGGAAAGGGTGGATCAATCATTTTCTATATGCCTTCATTTTCTCTCAAAATATCGGTACACAAAAGCTTATAAAGGGATTATGATTGAGCCATAGCTTCTTAGTAAGGCCTATAAATGCCCTACTCTCCACCTGAGCTTTGACTATTTAGAAATGTCTATGGAGTGTGAATCAGTGACAGACTAGGACATAAAACCATCACAGTGCTAGAGTCAAATACCCAAAATACCTACTAATTATGACACATTGAAAAAATAACTTAATTTCTCAGAACTTCAGTTTACTCATGTGTAAAATAGTAACTTCTTCATAAGGCTGATGAAAGAAATGCAATATAGCTTCCAAGTGCTTAAAATTTAAGAGGGGCTCAATAAACCAGCACAAGCGGATGTAGTGACTGGAGTATCTCTTAGATTTTCAGGAAGTTATGGAGTCCAATTTAGTATCTATTGCTCTGATTTTGTCCAGGTACAGCCCCCTGTAGCTTGATCTGATAATCAAGCTTCTTATATCAATATAAATTAATCAAGTAGTAAAGTTAGTGCTAAACTTTAAAAAAGAAAGAAAATAATAATACATATGTTAGGAGAAATATGAGGATCAAGAAATGAGTAACCTTGACTTAAATTCAACATAGATTAATTTAGATTACTGTTTCTGGGCATTGAGAGACTATTAAAACAGGTAAAACCCTGGCCTCCAGGAGTACTCAGCTTAGTTTAAGTCACAGATATACAGGCATATCGTTTAAATATGTACACAAATTCAATGAGTAAAGCATGCTCAAAAAGTGACAATAGTGAGGAAGAGTCCCCCAAAAAAGTCTGGATAACATTTACTCCTAGCCTCCAATATGAATCTCTAAGAACTTAGATTCTCATTCACCTAATATAAATAAGCCCAATTAAAAAGTAAAACTTTTGAAAGAGTCGAATTTCCAACAAATTACAACATATCATTTCAGTTAAGGTATAAAAAAGTAGGTATGTATGCCAATAGCATGTCATTTTAACTTACTATGAACAAATCAAAAGATTTCTAGCTGAGTTCCCACCAATAATAGCCACAGAAAATTATTCAATAATTAACAGTTTACAACAGAGTACCTAGAAGTACATAGTTTCAGGTCATCCCCACAATTTTTGTGTTAGGCAGGGAAAATAATTCCCTTTGTACAGATTAAGGAATGGAAGTTCAAAGAGATAGAAAAAAAAAAAAAAAACAACACTTTTCTAGCCAGATGCCGAAAGAAAATGGAGTATTTTGCTGTATCCTGAAAAAGATTCTGGATTTGCAAATATCATACTTAATAATTAGAAAAATATAGCAAATTCTTCCTTTTTTCTCCACAATTAACAGCAGTAACTTTTTATGCCATGCCGATGTGATTACAGTAATAGTTATGAAAACAAGACTAGAATACATTGTAAGAAAAGGAGAAAATATAAGCCTACACTTGCCTTAGAACTCCTAGGAGTGCTCAAAATAACAACTTAAACTTTTCAAATATAAATTCCCTTCATGTAGTTGGATTCTCCATTCAAAACACTTCTACTCGGGCCGGCACCGCGGCTCACTATGCTAATCCTCCGCCTTGCGGCGCCAGCACACCAGGTTCTAGTCCCGGTTGGGGCGCCGGATTCTGTCCTGGTTGCTCCTCTTCCAGGCCAGCTCTCTGCTGTGGCCAGGGAGTGCAGTGGAGGATGGCCCAAGTGCTTGGTCTCCCATGGGAGACCAGGAGAAGTACCTGGCTCCTGCCATCCGATAGGCGCAGTGCGCCGGCCGCAGCGCGCCGGCCCACTGCGCAGGCCGCGGCGGCCATTGGAGGGTGAACCAATGGCAAAAAGGAAGACCTTTCTCTCTGTCTCTCTCTCTCATTGTCCACTCTGCCTGTCAAAAAATTTTAAAAAAAAATTTTAAAAAAAACACTTCTACTCATTTTATTTTTGATTTCTACAACTGTTTCAACCATGAAACCTTCTGTATATTCAATGCAATATGGCTCGATGCTTTTAAAGGAAGTTATTGAAATCATATAACCGAAATTCCAAGAATACATTTGCTTCTGCTATATCTTAATCCAGGATCTCAAATAATGACATGAATCTAGACTCTCTCCTTGTACTGGTTCTGTTTCTTCAATGTCAACTTCAATATTGGGTAGTGAGAGGCAGGGGGGCAGTGTGGGGGGGAGAAGGGGGGAGATTAATCAGTATTTCCATGTTCAAATCTAGTAGGAAAAGTACACATACCTTTTCCCTTAGCAGTTCAAGTAAACTTTGTGGTGCCTCATTGACTCTTAATAAGTGATATATTTATTCCTGAACTTTGTCAAGGAAAAAGTAATGTTTTGAAATGTTAGATCTAAATCTCAGGTGAATCCCTTGAGCTAGAAATGAGTCAATGTCATGCAAAACACAGAGGATAAAAAGGAATGGATCTCTAGAGGAAAATTGGTACACATTTTGGATTGCAGAAAGTCACCACTTATTAAACTTCCATATAAGTCTTATATTAATACTCTAAGCTCAACTTTATATTGACTCAAGACTGAGAAGTGGTTTTATAGCATTTAGATGCCCAAAAATTAAAAATTGCACTATAGATCACGTTCCCTGGGAAGTAAAGTTTCCAACACACATTTGCACACATGAAGTTTATTAGGAAGTGCTTTCAGAATTGGTATCTATAAAGAAGCCAAAGCAGCAGTGTTGTGCAGTAAAAAAAAGATGATCCTGAAAAATTTGGTCCCAGGCAATCCCACAGGGATCTCCAGAATCAGTATAGTCTTCAGAGCTGTCCTGAATTGAATAAAGGGGACCAGTCCTTTATATCCCCACATTATCTATGAATTGGATGTAGGGTGCTCCTGGGAAACAGATATAGCCTTGGGTAAGGCAATGGCCTTTTACAAGACAAATTTCTAGGAAGGACTCAACTATGCCCTCTCAGTGGGTAACACTTAGAGAAACTAGGGTAATGAGTACCTGGATATTGATATAGTGGATCTGAGTGGCACACCATAACATTCACGGATCTACCCTTCATGCAATCTAGATTCACTAGTAGTAATTAAGCTCACCTCATTTGGAAATACTTCCTCCAGGATTCTAGTTGGTCTCTTTTTCTGGGGCATCTTGCAAGTATAAATTTATTGTGATAAATTATAGCCCCTCTACCACTGTTGTCAGGACCTCATCTTATATTCATCATCTCATTCCTTTGCTGCCAATTCCAGGTACCTTACCCGAACACAGCCTCCCCCTTCCATCCAATTAGCACCTTCTTGCCTGTCTAAGCCCCTGTTCAACATACCTTCCCCAGACTGGAGTTGCTGTACTTGTCCATTTTGGTCAAAATTGGGCAGAGGATACCAAAAGTGGATAATCTGGATGTACCCACCAACGGACAGCAGCACTACCTCCTCCTAATGATGAGGGTATTTTATCCCTGCCAGAACGGTGCTTCCGTCACCAGCTTTCTGATTTCCTGGCACGAGGATCCCAAAGTGACTAGACCTTTGGCCAAAGCTCAGTATTTAATAAGACCCTTGTTATGGCTCCCAAGAAAGAATTCTCTCTGTGGAAACCATAATCTCTAGAATCACAAAGCCCAGAGTTACAGATATATAGAGACAGATTCCAAAACCAGATCATTGAAAGTAACAGGAAACTGGTCAACTTACAGACCTATGTAATCTTGACTTTATAGGATTATAGCCCCTATATAATGATTATTGATTTAGAGTGTGTAAGTGTTATATGCACTTAAAATGCTACTCATTCACAATGCCATCACTCTGGCAGGCCAGGAATTTCTGAGTGTTGTAATACACAACACTACATACCATAGCCATATGCTCATAAATTGCACCTCTTTTGATGTAAAGTGGGTTCCTTTGTCTGATACAATATATGGAATCCAATATCCATGGATGAAACACCTTGAATAGTGGAACCGCCTTTTAAGTCCTGTAGACAGAAAAATTTAATTTGTACCCCAAAAAATACCTCAATCCCAATCAATATGAATCTCTTCTCATTCCAGAGTAGGAGTCCAATATAATCAACTTACTATAATGACTTATTACAATGATTATCAACTGACCAATAGTCTTCTCAAAGAACAGTGCCTGGGAACAGCACAGTGGCACAGTGAGCTGGACCTCCTCCTGAAATGCCAGCACCCCATGTGGGCCCCAGTTGGAGTGCTGGATACTCCACTTCCAATCCAGCTCCCTGTTGATAGCCTGGGAAGGCAGTGGAGGATACCCAAAGTCCTTGGGCCTCTGTACTTGGTGGGAGATCAGGAGGAGGCTCCTGGCTCCTGGTGCCTGGTGCCTGGCTCCAGATTGGCTCAGCTCCAGATCGGTTGAGCTTTGGCTGTTGCAGCCAATTGGGGAATAAACCAGCATATGGAGGACATCTTTCTCTCCCTCTCTCTCTGTGACTCTGCCTCTCAAATAAAATCTTACAAAAAAAAAAAAAAAAAAAAAAAAAACAGTGTCATATCAAGGGCCCAACATGTATCTCTCTTGATGTCAATTTAGCATTAAACAGTAGCTTAGATGGATTAACCTAGGTGAGTTGAAGTCCCAGCTATGGGCCCATGAATAGCCTCCGTCTTTGCCACCATGGCTAATTTGAGCACTGGAATAGCTAATGACAGAAGCTGAGTGACTCAGCAAGAGCAGTACCAAGAAAAAGAAAAAGTTCCACAAAACATCCCTGGAAAATAAGCATAGACACTCCTTGGGAGGGACATACCCTGAGGCATCATTCTCCCAATGTGTCCTCATCAAAATAAAATCAAATTCACACTAACACACCTACACACACACACACACAAGCTGAATGACTTCACCTGTCTGAATCATTATTTTCTGTTCCGTTCGGACACAGTCTGGTGGATATTAGCATATATCTTAAAGGATTTCTACTTCAAGCAAAGATGAAGTTAGACACTGAATTTATATTCCTATATAGAATAACAAAAAAGTTAGGTAAAATGCAAGACTACAGTTTTCAACACATTAGACATGCAACAAAAAACAGTGATCCCTGGTTTGAGGAAACATTACTGGGAGTTCACCCTTAAAATATGAGAAGAAATAAACTGTTAACCAAAAATTACATTCCCAGGAAACATATCTTTAGAAAGTAAAGATGATATATATAGACATTTTCAGACATACCATGGCCAAAAAATTCAACATCAGATCTGTGCCACAAGAAGCAATAAAGGAAGTCCATCTGGCAGTAAAAGAAAAAAGAAAGAAACTTATGGATCTATACAAACAGTAGAAATGATAACTACAGTAACTACATGGATAAATATAGGTCATTTTTCATTATTTTAATATCTTCAAAAAATAATTGTTTAAAGCAATCAATTTATTGTGAGGTTTTTAACAAATGTATAATATACAACAAAACAAGCATAAAGTTGGAAGTAGAAAATGGAAAAATAATACAGTGAAGTTCTTACACTATTTTAACTATAAACAGAAGAATATAATAGCAATTGCATATGAACTATGGTAAGTTAAACATTTCTAATTTAAACTCTAAATCAACCACTGTAATAACAGTTCTCACTAACAAATCAACAAAATATATATAATGTATTTATTAAAAAAATTAATTCAAACTAAGGCAGATAAAGAGGAAAGGGTAAGAACACATGGGGCATACAGCAAATGAACAGCAACAGGAAAGCATGATACTTAACCATGACAATAATCACATTAAATGTAAATGGTATGAAAGTCTCATTTAAAGACAAAAATTGTATATTAGTAGAAAAAAGGCAAGATACAACTATATGTAGTTTACAAGAAATTCACCAACATTTACACATGAAAATTGGTAAAGGTTGATGGATGAGAAAAGATATACCCCCAACATTAAAAAGTTTACATTTAATATATTACTTTTGACATAATCTTCACATAAGGGTGTTGAGCTGGCTTTTAATATAATGGTGTGAACTACCTCTATGAACCCAGAGCATTCAAGGAGAATAGAAGTTTTAAGTTTCCCAGGTATTTTGGCTCAAACTACCCCATCTCAAGATTCAGCATTCTACCCCTGCCCCTCCCCCCTCCCCAACAAGGTCCATGACTTGCATAGGATAATTGCTGGCCTTAAGAATTCAATTCTCGGCCAGCACTGCGGCTCAATAGGCTAATCCTCCACCTAGCGGCGCCGGCACGCCGGGTTCTAGCCCTAGTTGGGGTGCCGGATTCTGTCCTGGATGCCCTTCTTCCAGGCCAGCTCTCTGCTGTGGCCAGGGAGTGCAGTGGAGGATGGCCCAAGTGCTTGGGCCCTGTACCCCATGGGAGACCAGGAGAAGCACCTGGCTCCTGCCTTTGGATCAGCGCAGTGCGCCGGCCGCAGTGCACCGGGCGCGGCGGCCATTGGAGGGTGAACCAATGGCAAAAAGGAAGACCTTTCTCTCTGTCTCTCTCTCTCACTGTCCACTCTGCCTGTAAAAAAATAAAATAAAAAATAAAATAAATTCAATTCTCAATTGACATTGTGAGAATTGATTATTGTTTATAGCCCTTGTCTCTACTTTTGAGGAACACTGTTTTTTTCTTCTTACTACGTTGTTGTATTCTTTACTTAGTAGAGGGTTAATCTGAAAGTATGTCATTTTAAAAATTAAAAGAAAGAGTAAGAAAGGAAAAAGGGAGGGCAGATTGGGAAGTATCACTATGCTCCTAAATCTGTACATATGAAACACAAAATTTGTTCACCTTATATAAATTTAAAAAAAAAAAAAGAATTCAAACTCTCTAGAGCTCTGTCCACAGGGAGCCTGGTTCTGGTCCTTATATTCAGTGTTCATTTTTCTTTGGCTTTGAGAGATTAGAGTTTATTTATATCTTACTACTGTAGTCCTGATGCTAAAAGTAGAGGATGCTGGGAATTAAACGAAGAGCTGGCAAGGCATTTGGGCAGCATACTACAAAACTATCGTAAAAGGTACCATCAAAGGAAAAGGGAAAAAAAAGTTAATTTTACAGTAATGTGATATAGATAAGAAAATATACCCCCCCACACAAAAAAGTACCAGTACTATCTCATTTACTTAGGGAAGGGGGAGATATTAACAGCTGGGTGAAAATTTGTGGCATCTTTTCCAACAGATTCTGAAAAAAAAAAAAACAGATCCCCTTTACTTACAGTAGTTCTATACCCATTATGGGCACACAGTTCTATTTCTTCAAGTTTACTGAAAGACACATCAATCCATCGGAGATGGAAGGAAAAAGACTAAGAGAACAGTAAATCCAGTTAATACTCATTTTCAAAACAAAATTATTTCCAAAGTATTAACTTCTATCAATTGTCTAATAGGTTGAACTCCTCTATTTTATCTTCAATGAACCAATATTAAACAATTTATCTACCCAACTGAACAGTAATCAGTTGAAGTAGTTTTTTATGTGTAGACAAAAATCTAAGGTGAGTTTGTTTGTTTGCTTTGTTTGTTTGCAAGTGATCATCACATGAAATAAGTATTACTGGATCACAATTTCTTCCTGTTACTATTTAACTCAAGTTCTCTCGTAAATTTCTCTTTAGAGTAAATACAAGGGTAGTTTAAAAAGCTCACATAATACTCAACGAGACTCCATCAATATAACTCCAACAATAGGTTCTCAGTGATTCTCAAGGAGCACATTCCACACACAAATCAAATTAGTAAACCTGTACTTTGATGCACCAAAATAAACTTACCTTTTAATTCCAAGTTTCCACAAACTTTTAAGTACCCCTTAAGAGACAGACCTGTGCAAAGCAAAGCAATGCCCAAACACCAAATATATTAGTTTCACATCCCTAAGATTAGCTTTACTCCAAATTCTACTTCCTTGGGCCCAGTGCTGTGGTGCAGCGGGTTAAAGCCCTGGCCTGAAGCACCGGCATTCTCACATGGGTGCAGGTTCTAGTCCTGGCTGCTCCTCTTCCAATCCAGCTCTCTGCTATGGCCTGGGAAAGCAGTACAAGATGACTCAAGTCCTTGGGCCCCTGCACCTACGTGGGAGACCCAGAAGAAGCTCCTGGCTCCTGGCTTCAGATCTGTGCAGCTCTGGCCGTTGTGTCCATCTGGGGATTGAACCAGTGGGTGGAAGACCTCTCTCTCTGTCTCTACCTCTCTCTGTAACTCTGGCTTTCAAATAAATAAAATAAATATTTTTAAAAAATTCTACTTCCAACACAACTCACCAAGGAATCACTCTGTACATTCTCATAGGTTCCTTAAAAAATAATAACTGGCTAGATATATACTTTTTGTACCATGGTCCTAAATTAATTGGGTATTTTGTCAGCTCATCTAAACACCTTAAACCATGCAGAAAGCTCAAACACTGAGAACTATGGTTAACAGAATTGTCTGGTTAGCTAAATATTAACCTGTCCTGCAGACCCCAGCCAGGCCTGCCTGAGGTCAGCAGTGATTCAGTCCGTCCTAACAGCGGGCAAGTCTCCAGTTGATGCCAGGGCAGGTCCAGCGGCTTATCCGTGAGTCCTGGCCTTGAAACAGGGGCTGCTGCTCTCTCTGGTGCTGGGTCTCACAGCAAAGAGGACAGTGAGCTTCAAGGCCTGGGCTCCAGTTCTTGCCTTACCTCCTGCTGTGACTGACATCCGACTCTCCTCAGTATCAGCCTGATATGAGGGGACAGTCGCTGGAGGTGGGTCCTTGGCCATTCAGGCTGACACAAAGCTGGATCTCAGGGTTACTAGTTGCGAGGAGGAGGCAGGCCCTGGGGACCCACCTGGGCGCCATCTCCACCAATGCACTGGCCTGCGCCTGATGCCGGCCGAGTTGGAGGCTCCGTTTTGCTCTGTCACAAGGATAGAGGCCTTAGGTTTTTATCTGGTACTGGGTCTCACTGTGGCAAGCCCACACAAAGTTCTAAATCCCTTTTCCCGCCCTGTTCAGCGGTGACTGGCGTCCCCTCAGGCTGTCTGTGGAGGCCGGAAGCGGGCAGCGGCGGAGGCGGTCCCTTGGCTGCCGGGCTAGGCGGGGTCCTTGGGCTCTGTGACTACCGGCCTAGGAACCGGCGTTGGGTCCTACCGGGCTCCAGATTACACCACCGCAGGCCTAGTATACTGGGTTTCAAGTCTGAGTCCTGGTCTTAATTCCTCTCTCGCCCAAGCGGCTACAGAGGTGTTTCATAGCCACATTAGGCTACTTGGAGCTCGGGAAAGGGCAAAGCTGGCAACGCCTTCCTACTGTCTTAAATGCGTCTTTTCTTATTATTACACTAAAACCAGGCACTGTGGTCTCTTAACTGCTTTCCTTTCAGTTCCTGCTAAGGCGACTTGGCCTGTGAATGGCTGCTGAAATTGGTGGCTGTGGGGAGATTACTGTGGGTGTTAGGGTCCAAAAAAGCCCACCGCCCGAGGAACGACTCCAAGAGACTTATTCTCTCATGCAACCAGCAAAGGGTTAAATTTATTGATCCAACATGTCGGGGCCCTCTGACAAGGACAGAGGAGCAGTGAGGAACTACAGCATAGGGTTTATAAAGGCAAAAACCGCAAAATCGGGAGGAGGGAGAGAATACACGATTGCTAAGCGGTTGCTAAAATCTTACAATCAGCAATTATGATCTTAAGACATAGACAAATCACATCTGCATTATTAGCCCAGGTAACCCAGGTGCAACCTTTCTACTTTTAAGCTTGAGCAATCATGCTAGGGGGTTTTTGTGCGTTGCCAAGGGTGATGTAGTCCCCTGCTTTTGTCCGACTTTTTGAGATCATATTTTCAGCCCAGATTCTCCCGCCCGGGGGGGGGGGGGGGGGGGTTGCTTTCCCAGAATGCAGTCTCAAGGGCTCCAAAATGAAGTCCCTACTGTCAAGGTGCTACTTTACTCTGTCTTATTTTCACAGCTGCACCAGGAAGGTTTAAACCTGTAAGCTTAAGCTTAACTTTTTACACCCGCACATATACAATTTTAACTCTTCATGGGCACACCCCAGCTGCCATCTTTTCTGCCGCCTTCCCTGAATTATCTATTTGCCAGTATTTATACTTTCCAAGAGTGAGACTTAATTGATGACATTCTGTATTGAAATGCCTGTCTTAAATCCTCTGTCTTTTCACTTCTAACCCAAATATAGCTAGGAAGCATCAAATTTTCTTCCTATTCATCCCATGTATAGTTCCTACTCTTAGAGGTCGTTTGTTTCCTAGTTTCTGGGCAAATCATCTGTGTTAATCTGACAAAGGCTCTGTGGCTCTCACAGAGCGTTCTACAAGGAAAACTGGGACCAGGACAGAAAGGAAACAGGATGACTTTCTCAAAAGACAGCCACTGGGGCTCATCTTGAGGCACAGGGAGCTAAGCTGCCGCCTGGGATGCAGAGTCCTGTATCAAAGGAATAGTTGGAGTCATGGCTGCTCCACTTCCCATCTAGAGCCCTGCTAATGAGCCTGGGAAAGCCACAGAAGATGGCCCTAGTACCCATATAGGAGACATACAGGGCCCTGACACCCATATAGGAGACCTGGATGGATCTTGGAGCTTCTGGCTTTGGCATGACCCACCCTTGGCTACTGGGGCCATTTGGGAAATGAACCAGGGATGTTAAGATTGATTCTTTTTTTTTTTTTAAGATTTAATTATTTATTTATTTGACAAGTAGAGTTACAGATACAGAGAGAGGAAAACAGTGAGAAAAGTCTTCCTTCCGTTGGTTCACCCAAATAGCTGCTACGGGCAGCGCTGCACCAATCCGAAGCCAGGAGCCAGGTGCTTCTTCCTGGTCTCCCATGTGGGTGCAGGGCCCAAGCACTTGGGCCATCCTTGGGCCAAAGCAGAGAGCTGGACTGAAGAGGAGCAACTGGGACCAGAACCTGGCACCCATATGGGATGCCGGCGCCTCAGGCAGAGGATTAATCAAGTGAGCCACGGCGCTGGGCCCTAAGATTGATTCTTTATCTCTCTCTCTCTCTCTTTCTCTCTCTTTCTCTCTCTTTCTCATCCTCCAGCACTCTGCCTTTCAAATAAGTACATAAATTTTTTTTTTTAAAATGGCCTGGTGTGAAATAGGATAAGAATATATGGGATTTTTCACAGAAAAATAAAAACAATCTTAAAATTTGTGTTGAACTACAAAGACCCTGAACAGCCAAAACAATCTTCAGTAAAAGGAGCAACACTCACGGCATCACACTGTCCACTTCCAATATCTACTACAAAGCTGAAATAATCAAAACGGCAGGGTAATGGCATAAAAACAGACATATATGAAACAGATAGAATCAACAGGACAGAAATAAATCCACATGAGGGAATAATTGATATTTAACAACACCAACAATACACGATGGAGAAAGTAATGGGTGCTGGGAAAATTGGATATTTACTTGTAGAAGAATGAAATTAGACGCTCTTCTAACTCCATATTAAAAAAATCAACTCCAGAGACATAAATGTAAGACCTGAAACTGTAAAACATGTAAGAAAACATAGAGGGCAAGCTCCTTGAGATTGACTTGGGCATGATTTTTTTTGATATGTCCTCAATATATGAGAAATGACAACAAATACAAACAGGATTTCAGTAAACTAAAAACCTTCTACACAGCCAGGGAAACAATCAACAGAGTGAAAAAACAGCCTGCAGATAGGAAAAATATATCTGTAAATAACGTATCTGGAAAGGGGTTAATATTCAAAATACTCATATATAAGAAACTGAAACAACTCAATAGTGAGAAAACAAATAACCCAATTACAAAATGAATAAAGAACTTGAATAGGCATTTCTCAAAAGAAGACAGACAAGTCAGATAAATGGAAATCAAAACCTCAATGAGATACCATCTCACACATGTTAGAATGACTATTGCCAAAAAGACAAAATACGTGTTGGTGAGAATGTACATTAGTGCAGATAGTATAAAAACAATATAGAATTTTCTCAAAAAAATTGAAAACTTGAACTATCCTTATGTGATGTAGCATCCTACTACCAGCTATAAATACAAAAGATATGCAACATCTGCACTCCCGGCCAGCGCCACAGCTCAATAGGCTAATCCTCCGCCTAGCGGCGCCTGCACACCGGGTTCTAGTCCTGTGCTGTGGCCCGGGAGTGCAGTGGAGGATGGCCCAAGTGCTTGGGCCCTGCACCCCATGGGAGACCAGGAGAGGCACCTGGCTCCTGGCTCCTGCCTTTGGATAGGCGCGGTGCACTTTTTGCCTTGCGCCGGGCGCGGCTGTACTTCGGAGGGGTGTCCTCACAACCAAAACAGAGGGCCCCTCTCATCTCTGATCATTTATTTTACCCCCTGCCGGTTGCATGTGTGAAAAAATCTCAGGAGTCGTTCCTCGGGCGGTCTGCACTCCCATGTTCACTGCAGCATTATTCACAATAGCTAAAATACTGAAAACCTATAGAGTGTGTGTGTATGTGCATGTTCAGCCTAAAAAAAAAAAAAAAGGAAGGAAACCCAGTCATTTTTCACAATATGGATATGCATGTCATTATGGTAAGTGAAATAAGCCAAGAACAGAAAGACAAGTACTGTATAATCTTACTTAAATATGGAACCTAAAAAGTCACATTCATAGAAAATGAGACAAAATGACAGTAACCAGAGGTTGGCAGTACTTGAGGACATTTGGTAGATATTAGCCAAAGCATAAACTTTCAGTTAGACAGAAGGAGTAAGTTCAAGAGATCTATTGCACATCACGGCGACTATAGCTATTAATAATACATTATATAATTGAAATTTGCTAGAAAAGTAAATTCTAAGTGTTCTCACAACAAAAATATTGATTAGTATGTTAAGTAATGCATCTTTTAAATAGCCTGATTTAGCAATTTCCCAATGTATACATGCATCAAAAGATCAGGTTTTAAACAAATGTATACAATTGTAATCAATCAAAATAATTTTAACATGATTTATATGGTAATACAAGTATGTAACAAATGTTTCTGTAAATAAAACTAAATATTAAATTTTTAAAAAATCTAAGAGCCTAATCAGTCAGGTTTGGACTTAATGGGAGTGAATTCACCAAAATCTACTTGACTGAGTTTCTCATGTATGAAGCCTTTGAAAACTATACCCTTCCCCAAAGGTATTTGCCCCAAACCACCCAACAAGCCTGAATTCTTCTCTTCCCTGGACAAAGAGGCCATATTTTATGCAGGACTTAAGTTTCTCTTTATAACTCTTCCACCCCAATTCATTTATCTTAGTCCCTGAGCCAAGAATCAGTAAATCTTACTCCTTTTCATCTTTTTGTTTTTTTGAAATATACATCCTTTAAACTTTAATAATATCACTTAACAAAAGTCCTTTATATGGATTGCATACATCCTAGAGCTTATTCTAAAAGTCTTTGGGTATATACACAGATGATTCTTGCACCAGGTGATAATATAGTGGTTTTTCAACACATTGAATGAGGTGGAGAAATTATTAGCCCTTATTAATGCCTCATCCCACTTTCTTCCAGTCTGGGATAAGACATGGGCTTATAAATTGTTCATTGAAACTGACAGATGAAGGTTGTATCGGTGTTTTCCCAAAATAATTTATACAAACACGTACACACACACACACACACACACACAGTTAACAGTCATAGCTGGTTAATATTTTTATTAGTTTCATTTAACTTTATGCTCATGTAAAATCTTTACCCAAAGCAAATAAAATAGACAAATAAAGCATGGTCTCAGATTGTGGCATACAACTTCAAGTTTTTCATACTTTTCATAAATGTGCTATGTTAAGAACCTTTTTCCTGTTTAACATTCAAGACAAAAACTATGTTCCTGTCTTCAGGCCCATTTTGTCAAGAAACAAAAGTAATGAAGAGAGTCACATTTGAATAACAAGAGTAGACTAGACATGAAAAAATAGAACAGGGCTAGGAAGCTTCAATTCTCCATCTTAAAATTTCTTAACTGTTGTTGGGAATAATAGAATATCAAAAGGATAAATTC